AGTGAACAGGAAAATTAAAAAGATTTTTAAGCTCAGAATTTAAGCATTTTTACAACATATTTANCTACATTGTTCCATTTTTCAGATTTTTCATATGTTTATAGATATACCTGATTTTAACAATTTTTGAAATTTAAAATTTTATAATTAGATATAAAAATAGATTTTGAGATAATCGTAAGAACATTTTACATCAAAATTATATACCATGATAAAATTTTAAGGTACACCTTACCTCTACACCTACGGATGCATCCGTACACAAACTACACCATACTAAAAAAATATTACATGTACAAAACAAGTGCATATAAGTGTCTAGAATTTGTTTAGTAAAACATTATAAAATGCTCTATAGTGTGAACACCCTAACATAACCCTATATTAAATAGCTTATAAAAAAATTATATTAAGTTAATAACCCTATCTTAATGGATTATGTTAGGGTGCTCACACTATGGAGTAATTTATTAGTGTACTCAACAATTTTGGATGCTTCTATAGCCTTGTTTTGTATATGGAGCATTTTTTTAATAAGGGTGTTTTTTGTCATTAAGAGGATGTGACGTCTTTCACACGGAGCATTAAATGCCACTAATATATTCCATGTGGGTGATATCACACCCCATGTTGATGACATCATACCTTCCTAATGACCAAAAATACTTTTATTAAAAAAATACTCCATGTACAAAACAAGTGTATAGAAGTGTCCAAAATTGTTGAGTACAATAGTAAATTACTTGAGCACTCTAACATAAATTATTCTATCAAATAATAAGTGAATAAATGAACCCTCATTTATTACGGAAGTTGATACGTAGATTTTTGAAGAAAGAAAAAAAGAAAATTTCAATTTATAGTCTTCATTTCATGGAACCTCCGGGTTCTGAAGATAAAGTATTGACAACCCTTTGCTTATGCTGGGCAAAAATAAGGCGGGTCATATCAGCCGGATAAGAGATTTCGAGTCCTTTGTTGATCAGGCGACACCTGGATTTGAAATGGGGAAAAAGGATTTGTAGTCCCCCGCCTTACCACTCGTCCATGCCGTCGAAAAGACACGGAAATCAACGGAAACACTTTTTCTGGGGGGATTACTGAATGATTTCTTATTTTATTTCATCTTGATCCTGAATCCCCTTTCCCTTATCCCTTTCAAAAAATGCACCTTTTATTTGATTGATCAAGTTGAAATATTTTTCTTCGATTGATTGTCTATCACAATCACAACACTTAAAGACTTCCTTTTTAGAATGAAAAGGATAAAGAAAGAATTTCTAGTCACAGAAGAACAAAGAATTCCTGACTAATTGGAACCATTAACTGTTGAATGAATCTGAATTCATGAACGGTTCTTGGATCTCAATCATTGATCATTGATAAGAACTAATAACTCAAGTTTCATTCAACACTTTGACTAACTATTTTTACGTAAATGACCTGGACCGATAGGGAAATCTCGATTCATTGGGTCTTTCGATACAATCAAATATATTGCCACAAGGGCACCATATTCTAGGAGCCCAAACTATGTGATTGAATAAATCCTCCTCTATCTGTTGCGGGTCGAGGGTTCCTTCTCCTTCCCCTTTTTCAAACTCCGATTCGTATTTTTCATATATAAATCTTTGATCAACGATAGAACAAGATCCATTTTGCATCATATTTAACGGATTCCTTGGTTCGGACCGAAGAAGCAATGTCACTCGATCATTATCAAACTGACTGCAATCTTTTTCTGTTCGTGAGGATCCCACCAGAGCGCTTTCTAATAGGCCATGAACTAGATCAGAATCATTCTCAACGAATCTATAAGAAGTGATCCAATTTTTTTCATCGGGTCCGGGTGGAGACCAAAGATCTTGAGCGACCGATCTGGCAGAACAACTCAAAAGATAAAGAAGTGTCGTTAATTTCCTTATGCTCGTTCCAAGTTCGAAGTACCATTTGTACAAATAAGAATCCCCTTCCTTACATGATTTCTTCTTCATATAGGCAGATATAGGATCTATGGAGCAATTACTTAGAAGTACATTTTGTGCAAAGGACCTTCTCTGATAGAAAAGGATCCCATGATCCTGAATGGATCCTACTTGGGATCACAAATCCCAAGTTCATCTATAAAGAGCTGATCTAAGTGTATTAGTGTCTATAATTGATTTCTTCTGTGTGGGCACATCCAATCCTTGTTTGTACATCAATAATACCTAATTTTTTAGTGCGGGGTAGAGCAGTTTGGTAGCTTGCAAGGCTCATAACCTTGACTTCACGGGTTCAAATCCTGTCACCGCAAGATCTTTTTGTTTTATAAAAAATTTCTTTTTGGGTATTACTTTGTCACCTAAATTTGACACCTAGTAATTAATGAGCCCTTTTTCTTTGGGGGTGGAGGGAAGGTGTAAACACTATACCGTATTGGATATGCTAACTATACCGTATCATTTCTTGCATTCCATTATTTTTATATTTTTATTTCAACACGGGCGGATAGCGGAATCGAACCCGCATCTTCTCCTTGGCAAAGAGAAATTTTACCATTCGACCATATTCGCATTTTATTCCTTCCTAATACGCCTGTATATGTCCACACTAAACAAATATGAGAAAATAGGATTCTAATCTATTAGATATTAGAATCTAATCTTAATATTCTTTTATCTATTATATTAGAATATTATATTATATTTCTTATTCTTTTATTATATAGTATATAATATACTAGATGATATGATATGCATTTGGAACATATTTGTACAGAGCCAAATACTACGTTCACTTCAAGTTTCAAGAAGATTCCAATTCTCTCAAGTAACTTTTGACCCCTCCCTCTCATTTTTTTTTCTTTCTTTTCGGGACTCATAGTTATTGTGTCCCACAACCAGAATGCCTTCCGGGGAGGGGTCAATTTTGTGATCCGGGAAAAGCTCAAAAGATGAGAGAATTAAGGATAGCTACCAAAAAGACTAATTCAATCCATAATGATGTACCAAAAAATACAATATTTTTGTTACTTGACCGACTATTAGAAGAAGCAAATACAACGGGTACACTAATCAGTAAGATTGATGAAGTAACAATTAATGCAAAACAACCAATTGGAAAGCAATAGGCATGGTTGTAATCCTCCAAGCTACCAACAAATGAACTATACCATTTGATCCCATTGATTTGCTGACCGGCGGTATCTCGACCCTTAACTACCAAAGAGTTGTAAATATTGGGCATCTTGCCCGGGGTAAAAGCTACATCCAGTGCTAGACCAATGATTTGAGCGATACGTCCCATGCTTTTTTCTGCAAGTGTAGAAGCCCCAGAACCAAAACCAAAAGTAGTAGGATTGATTCTCATAAAAAAAGTGAAATATGCCCACGAATATTACCGAATAAAAAATGTCCGATAGCAAGTGGATCGGTTAATTCAATAAGAAATGGGAGTTCTTGCTCGATTTAGTTGGTACTATCTAATTGAATCTGATTCAATCGCTCACTGATTCAATGAATGAATCATTTTCAAGTTCAACCAACCTTACCTTTCTTCAAGATATCGAGTATACGAAAAAAAATCATGAGAAAGTATTTACTTTTCTTTATCTGCATCTCTTTTCTGTTATAGATTATCCCATCTAGTCATATTCATATATAGAATTTGAACCCGAACTCCCTTTCTGATTCATTATTTCTATCTCATTGGTCGTTGTCTCCTATTTCAGCATATTGCTCTCCTCCCAAAACCTACAGGCAGGGGAAACCGGGAGAAGAGGCAAGAGCTATTGCAACGACAAACCTGAAGTGGAGCATGG